GGAAAAGTAACGAAAAGTTACTTTCTCAAGTAACGGTAATTGTAACGAGTTACTTTTAAAAATCGGTAACTAGTAACGGTAACTTGTTACTTTCTCTACTCGGTAACGAGTAACTGTAACTTGTTACTTTTAAAAAGTAACTTTCCATTCCCTGGTATTAATATAGTAATTATTATTAATGTAAATTAGTTACAAATATTATCATATATTGATAGACGTTGCTATGTCCAACAAACGATTGATTATATAACATTAGTAGGCGGTAAAATGGTAAGTTTCACGAATTAATCATAATTAGCTGTGCAGTGTGATAAGATTTTATCACTGTCGGTATTTGAATTTTTGTCTGCGCACAGATGCGCTTTATTTGCAGAGATTCATCCGTTGTAATGATCTCTTAACGGAAAGAGCTGAAATTTACAAATATGATATTTGCATAATAATATAAAATAATTATATATATTATGCATTGTGTCTTACAATTGGAGTACGATATAGAGAAAATATTTATTTAGAACGTAGTTCATTCTCTAAGAATATTATACAAGCGTTTTTAAATGTTATACGTCATATAAAAAAAGATAAGAATATTTATAAAATGTAATATTTGATCGTGAGACAATAAACAAAACGAAAAAAAATTTTTAGCTACATAGTAATATTATATACTTCATTTTCTCTCTCTCTCTCTCTCTCTCTCTCTCTCTCTCTCCCTCTCTCTAATTGAAATAGATTCATTTGGTCATTGCTCAATCCAAATTTTTGATTTTTTAAAATACATTTCAATTCAAGCATAAGTATATCGTTTGAATTCATTTTAATACATGACATGGGATTGAAACTACGGGATTCCTATTTCTTTTAATCGAAAAAAAGTTTGGAAAAAATAAGCCATCCATTTTAAACAATGACATAGGATTGAAATGACGTAATCCCTATTTTTTTCAATCCAATGTAAGTTTAAAAGCTTCAAACTCATTTTTGTCAATAATATGAAATTGAAAGAAAGTGAGTCTTATTTTTTTAATTAAAAAATAATTTCTTCGGTCATAAATCCATTTTAATTCGTGACACAGGATTGAAATAAAGTTTTTCTTATTTCAACAATGCACAAAAAAATAGTTCTATATTTTTTTAAGTAAACCCTACGGTGATGGTCTCAATTTTAATATTGGTAAAATTATGCTCGTTAAACGCGTTTTTATATGAAACGAAAGAATCTTACAGAAAAAAACGCGTCTACTCCGCGAAGCGAGATATTAATCTTAATAAGTTCATAACTATTTAGATTTAAATTAAGAAATCTATTATACTAGAGCATTTATGAATATACACTGTTAAATTTATAGTGTCAAATTTAATCTAACGTGAGTCGTCACTGCTGCTACTAAATGTGTCGTTATTTTTTACCAAAACCCACAATAGTTAAATTTGACACTGTATCATGTCAATTTGATACCATAGTGTCAATTAATAATAATGTAATCTTCTTATGGGCTCTCCCAAATTCAACAACAAAAAACTCCAAAACCAGGGCGAATGAGAGTCAACGTGGTAATTAATACGCAATCTTAATTCTTCAATCCAAAAATAGAATTTTTATTCCAAAAATAGTACATTTTCGGTGAAAGGCCTAACGTGGTTCTTAAAATGTTGCATGAATTTATAAAAGTCTTTCTCTGTCATCCAACCTGAATCATTGCCCGTTCCAATGCACCCAATTGGACCGTCACGTATAAAATGATCTTGGAAAGGTTTTCGAGGGAAAATAAATATCGATGGAATACTTTCCAATAGCATTCACAGCAACAGCAAGTGTAACTAACGTGCCTCGTTCTGCTGATGTCATAGCACTAACTTGTTTCTCTCCTTTTCGAGCTATTACTTTATTTGGTTTTTGCACTGTGGTAACACCAGTTTCATCCATGTTCCAGATGTCGGCAGCTTGAAATCCATGCTTATGCAAAATACTAGTGTAATTTTCAAAGAAAAAATTAACATTCATTTTGTTAAAGCTAGTAGCACGGCTGAGACTCGTAGCTTGAGGAGACCGTAAAGAGAGAATCGGATGTCTTTCCATAAACAATTTCAACCACACTTCTCCAGCCATTTGATTTTTTTTTTTTTCCCATGAAGCAGGTTTTGTCTTATTATGTTCTTTAGCCAGTTCATATGCTAAGCGTCTTGATTCTTTCGTAGAAAGACCATAATTAGCAGCTGAACAAGTAAGAAGATACTCACATAGAATTTTCTCTTCTTTTGCAGTAAATATAAAATTTTTTAAATATCCAATACTGGGCTGATTTTGACTTTTACCTTCATCAAAGGCTTTCTTCCTTTTAATAAATCGATGCAGAGTAGAATAATTTAAGTTGTATGACGATGCGGCGTCTCTAAGGCTCCTTTACTTTAAGCTAACTTCTTTTGCAGCAAGCTCATACATCTCTACGCTTATTTGACTTCGATCAGTTTTACGAATATATTTATTTGGCATCCTATAACAATAATAAATCATTTTCATGCAAATCGTAAGTAGTAAAGTAAAGCGGGTTCTAACCCATGGGGCTA